TGATTCTTGAAACCTGACCTATAATTTATTATATTTATTTAAATAATTATATATTTCAATAAATTATATGATTTCACTAACGATATTGCTAAGCGGTGGTTATTTTATGTTATTATAGGATGCACCCGACTTTAGAATATGCTAAGAAAATAGAGTAAGGTAGGTACAATGATGTAATTGAGCATTGTAAAAATATTTATTTGTCAGTCATTTGGTGTAGTGGTTTCGAAACTGACTACTATGCCGAGAGGTCCCGGGTTCGATCCCCGGCCGGGCAGAAATTGAATTGATACATTTTAATTTCTGTGATGGGTCTAGGTGTTACTATGTATAATATTATGTACTTATGTATATAAAAACGGTATTTAAGTATGTTTATATCCGTTGTCTAGGACCCATAGCTTTGCTCAGTTTGGGACTAGGAGCGTAGTGTAAAATGTCGAAGGAAGGATATTTATTTATTATTTGCGGAGTGTATAACGGAGGTTCGTTTTGGGCAGCCTTCGGGAGTGGACGTGCGCAACACGTGCGCTCCAGACGGTCCGACCCTAAAAGGCACTTACAAAGCCCCATGGCGTTTGACGCCGACGCGACGGTGAAACCCAAATGTTCTAACAGTGAGAATTACCCGAAATCATAGTCGCGATTAACTATTAACATAGTCAGATGTGTAAAAAATAGTGGTTATAGATCAATTTTTTGTGTGAGAAAAACTGTAGGTGAGAAAAAAGCATCGAGTAGGTGACAGTGACCAGCACAGCACCTAAGCTAAAAGCCTAGAAAACTAATCCGACGAAACCCGGTGAGATCTTTCCTTATCTTTCTTTGTTTATAAATATTTGGTGTCAATTATCTAGCCAAAAAGCACCAAAGCGAACGCATAATTATGATCTAGTATTTTCACATAAAAATATGTAATTGTATGTAATAGATCGTATAGTTTGTCAAACGAAAAGCTCTAACTTTTGGTCCATAAAGAAGATTGGCAGAAACCTATGTAGTGTTGGTACCGTCTTTAGACGGAGTGTAGGACAATGAAAATATTACCAATTTCTTTGTCTTGATTTATACAACAAAAAATGTAATAATACCATATTTCTACAACTTCAGAATAAAAAGATAAATTCAATGTTATGATAATACGGAACAAGGTTAACAAAACGCTTCGTTTTATGTTTTATTCAGGATGATTTTAAAGGCAGTTACTTTCTGTTGGATTGATGCTCATTAGATAATACGCATCGCGAGTGCTCGCCTAAACAAGAGATATTCTTTATATTTCTAAAGATTATTATTTATACATATTCATACAATAGACAATCAGGGAGGCCTATGTTCAGCAGTGGACGTCCTATGGCTGAAATGATGATGATGATGATGATGATACAATAGACAAGGCTTTAATGGGGAACTTTTATTCAAGTCAACATTATAATGCTATCAAGAAGTTTAATAAATAAAAACAAAAGTTAAAATCAATATACTGATTTATTCAATGTTTATTCTTACAAGAATTCCATCTGACACTTGTGCAGGTTGTGATATATTGTCTAAGTGACGAGCATAGGCTAAATACCATACGATACTCATCACATGTGAGCAACACCCTACTGTGACGTGACCCTACTGTCCTCAAACCCANATACCAAAATTAACAATAATTATTCAGTAGTTTAAACATCCATCCGTCAACACAAACAAAAACAATTGTATGAAGTATGATTCAATTAAATTTTTTAGAGTATACTTACACGTGTGATATTGTTAACTCGTCTCCGGGCTTGATTGGTTTCAATGCAATTAGAGCTACTTTGTTGTTTAGCCCAACCACATACAAATTAGAATCGCAGCTATGCTTCAGTTTACTTGTAAATGAAAACACACCAACATTTTTCTCCGGGACATTTGTTATTTTGTCATGAGCGGTACTGTTGACAAGTGAAGTTTCTATAGCTACAGTCCCCATTGTCATATTTAAATGAAGCAATACCCTACCCAGGGACCGTATAGCGTCAGCTTTTTCTTCACCACTAGGAAAAAAAGATGGCACGCTTTCTAAATAATGAATGATGGTTGCATAAATAAAAATCGCATTATAAGTCGTTCCAAAAACGAAATGCTTGTCAGTATTGACGTTCAAAATAGATAGTTTGTTGTTTAAATCATATACTTCATTTATTAAACTGGAATTCATCTTTTTCACCCCTAAGTGTGAGGATATAATTTTGAATTCCTCCCAGGTGCATTTTTTCTTTAGTTTTATTGCTGCTTTTACAGACAACCAGTATAGTAAATTGTGAGCACATAATACATGAAACACGTGAATAATATGGCATTCTACGTCATGATACTCCTCATAGCAAAGCCTTTTACATTCCTCGTTGCAGAATAACGCGTAGTTACAGTTGTCACATGGAATCAAATTTAACGAGAACGCATGACAGTAATGACAAGCCCTGATTTGATTTTCTGGATTCAAAAGTCCAACATACGCAGTTTCAAGTGCGACCAGTGTTCCTAGGGGAATGTTTTTTTGGGCGATGATTTTGGTCCGCCCATCTTTGATGATGAAATCAACTGCCGCACTCACACTTGGCACTTGTTTTTGTGTTTTTCCTTGAATTGTAAAGAAATTTTCGATAAACGTATTCCGTGAAGGGTTACCGTACTCTAGTAACTGTTTATCAAATAGACATTCGGCTTTCATTTCTTTAAGTCTTGACTCATAGGCGCCGTTGTCAAGCGCAAGACAAATATCAATATCAATCGAGCAATTTGGCCAGTAGTTATTTTTAGTATGGAACAAGAGACTGGATCTGCCAAAGTATGCTTCCAGTAAAGCATTGGAATTTTTTGGTGCTCTACGTAGTGCCGCATTATAGAAATATAATGCCTTCTTGTAATCTCCCTCCTCACAGGCTTTGTCACCAAGCTTCCGGAAATGTATTGATACACCCTCATGTTTGGGATCATTCCTTATCACGGGAAGTTTTTTTGTTTTCATCAATATTTCGAGAGCCGTCACAACAGCTACACCTTTGTCTTTTTGTTTTATCGAATTATAAATGTCATCAATTAACCTTTTGTCGGATAAAAATTTTTGGAATGCATTGGGGTCGTCATAGAAATTCATGATGAAAGTAAGGAAGTTACCTTACATTTCTCAGTTGACCTGTAAAGCCAAGTTGTATATTTAGTTTGCATTCAATTTTAAATAATACTAAACAAAATTCTAGCCTAGCCTTACTCATTGAAACAAGATAGTGGGTTATGTAATTAAATACTGAAGTAAATAAAAACCGATGACATGACAAAATTATGAAAAGTTTTTATGAATGTAATAATAAATAATTTACTCACTTTGACCGCCTTCGTAGTTCGCGTTCACGTAAAAACTAACAACTGAAACACTGCAAATGCTAGTTTTATACCACACCGTGTTAGATAATAATGTGCATTTAATGTGTGTTAAAGCTTAAGTAGCGGCGTAAAATAATAGCGATTACGTTCAATATTTAATGCGGTGATTCTCTAACCATAGATACTACCTTGCACTTAACGTTATCAATGAATTAGTCATTGTTTATCGCAAACCTTCTTTGTATAAACATACTAGTATTATTTCCACCTCTACGTTTTGTCGTAGTATTATCGCTGGAGATAAATAATAAAATCAATAAAGTAACTGCGCAACGACTGAAATTACATAGATGACTATCTATTATCTATACTTCAAATCGATAAGTGTTTGGTGCGTTGAGGGTCGTCCAGGTGTACACAAAAACCTGGGATTCCCCACTGTGATAAGAGGCAGTAGATAAATAAAATACTGAATGAATTACTGACACTGCATGTTTATTAACAAGCTCCCACAAGATGCCAAAACAACATGGCCGTCTTTCTTCAGTACCATAGACAATGAACACAATCATAGACTATTAAAGAAATCCAAAGATGATACAACATCTCCCCTTTTTAGAACCAGAAATGCTAAGATAAACTTAATACATTAACACAAGTATTACGGCTAATGACAATAAATTATGCAGCTAATTTTAAGTTAATATAAGTACACAACTAATACTTCCGTTTTGTTACAGTATATATTTATGTTAAACAGCAACATACATAACACTAACATAAAATAATACTTTCATGTTTTGTTACAATAAACTTAGGTTAAACAGCAACATTAACCACTATTTTTAAGTTTCATAACATAGCTATTACATTATAACTATGTACTTAAATAATTGTATTGCCTAGTTACTTGGTTTCAGCCCTACGTAAATAAATACTTGGGTTCAGTGATTTGTTACACTGCTGAAACCAAGTTTAGGTAGAGGTTTACATCAATTATTTCTATTTTAGTTAAGTTACCCTAGTAACACATATAGTCATTTAGATAAGCAGGACGCTTTACAGATCTTTTAAGTCTGGTATTATTTTGTTCAAATCCAGTTTCCTCCGAGCTACTAACATTAGAATTAGAAGGATTAACTTCAATGGATTCTGCAGAATCAACAATCTGATCCTCAACAGGATTTGTAATATCAGCAGAACCCTTACAATGCTCCTCATCTAAAATTACATTTTTATTTGTGACATACCCTCCTACCGTTGGTGAAATAGTTTCAGTAGGTGCCAACTTCAAATGCCATCTATTTCTTCTAAATTTCCCTCTTTCAGTATTAATTATATATGATCTAGGTTCCTTACATTTTGATGCAACTGTTCCATATATTTTCAAATCAGTAACCCACACTCTATCATTAGTATTCAGTTCTGGCAGATCCCTTGCTCTATGTCTCTTATTGTAATAACACCCATTTCTATGTTTCTTTTCCAACATCTTTTGTTTGAATTCTTGACCTAAGACTACTGGGTTATCAAGTTTACTAGATATAATAGGAAGGTTATCTCTAAGTTTTCGGTTAAACATTAATTCTGCTGGACTATAACCTATCTCAGAAGGGGTGTTTCGATAGATTAGTAAAGCTAGATAAATATCCTTATTTTTTGTTAGAAGAGACTTTGCAATCTTTACTCCGGATTCGGCTAGACCGTTACTTTGTGCATAGTAGGGACTACTAGTTATAGACTGAAACCCATACTCTTTGGCAAAATTATTAAACTTTGTTCTAAATTGTGTACCACAATCTGACCTTACTACCTCTGGAATTCCATACCTAGAAAACATTTCTTTGCATTTAACTATTACACAGTCTTCAGTCAAATCATGTAGTTTAAATATTTCCAGATATCTAGAGTAATAGTCAACTGCAACTAAATACCAATGGTTTGAAAATTTAAATAAGTCAATTCCTATTTTCTGCCAGGGTCTATCTGGTGGTGGGTCTAGTACCATGGTCTCTTTATAATTTTGTGATGTTTCTATACAGTTTGAACAAGTCTTAACTTTTTCCTCAATTTGTTTTGATAGACCTAACCACCAAACGGACTGTTTTGCACGCTCCCTACACCTTGTAATTCCTAAATGTCCTTCATGAATTCTATCTAAGATTTCTTGTTGCATGTTGTCAGGTATTACAATTCTTGAATTAAACAAAAGAAATTCCCCTTCCACTGAGAAGTTGTCCCGATACTGATAATATGGTTTCAAATTACCTAACAGATGTTTTGCAGGCCACCCATGAACTGTAAAGTCTATAATTTGAGTGCATATGTTACAGTTTCTCTGACTGGATTTTATTTTGTATAGAATGTTCTCTGACACAGTTTCACTGACAAGTGAATTGATATTGAATTGTAACTCCTTTTCCTTATCTGAACTAAGATAAATTGGCAGTGGCTGTCTGGACAGGGCATCTGCTACTACCAATTCTTTCCCAGGGATATACTTTACTTCATAGTCAAAACGAGTCAACCTTAATCTAAATCTTAAGAGTCGCGGACTAAGGTCATCAAATGGTTTTGTTTGCAATATTTGCAGCAGAGGTTTGTGGTCAGTTTCTAGTATAATAGGAATACCTAATATATAATCTCTAAATTTCTCAGCTGACCATGTCAGAGCCAAGCATTCCTTTTCTATTTGTGCATAATGCTTTTCGGTTTCTGTTAATGTTCTACTAGCATACATCACTACTGATCTTTGGCCTTTTTTATCTTCTTGTAATAAAACTGCTCCTAGCCCAAAAGAACTACTATCTGCTGAAATAATTATTTTCATTTCCGGATCAAAATGTGCTAGAGTGGGTGACCTTAGTAAATTGTCCTTTATAGTTTGGAATGCTTGTCTCTGAAGGTAACCCCAAATAAATAGCCGGTCTTCTTTTAAAAGCTCATGTAATGGTGCAAGGATTTGAGACTTATTTTGAATGTACCTTCCTACAAAATTAACCATGCCTAAAAATTGTAGTAATTCTTTTTTATTAGACTTTGGCTTTGATTCGGTCTGGATCTACTTTTATTCCTTCTTTGTTAACAATGTGTCCCAAATAACTTACCTCCTTTACCCCAAACACACATTTGCTTTTATTAATTGTTATCCCTTCATTATGCAATCTTTTTAAAACTTCTCTAAGTACCTGATCATGGGATTCCTTAGTAGGTTCAAAAATCAGAATGTCATCGACATGTATTGCTACGTTTAGGTCTTTCAGCAGATTTGAGAACTTCATACTGAAATATTCAGGTGCGCAATTAAGTCCAAATGGTAAACGGTTGTATACAGTGTGTCCGGGCTTGTAGTGATCAAACTTTAAGGGCGTAATCTATGGACAATTTTATAGATGAAAATACTTCAAATTTGGGGCTTGACCCATTTCTCGCAAAATTACGAGGATTTAAGTTTTTAATTTTTAGTTTTCACCTCTTCCTTCAAAAACAAGTGAAAGCGTGGGTAGCTTAACACTAATAAGCTAAAATTTTATATCATGCAATAGCCAATAAAATTATCTATTAGCAGAAGTAGAAAACAAATACAAGTTTCATACATTTTAAAGGAGTAAGNATCGATTTTAGAGAAATAATTAGCACCTTTCAGTCTACTTAATGTATTTTGTACCTTAGGAATTGGATAAACTGGCCTCAAAATATTTTTGTTTACTTGTGTATAGTCACCGCAAATTCTCACTTTATCATTCTTAAGCACTACCACAATTGGTGACACAAAATCAGTAGGTTCCTCAATGGACAACACGCATAAGTTGTAATATTAAGTTAAATTATGACTTAATTTAAAGTTTAGATCACACACATTACACTAGTTTTTATTTCACCTCAATCCATCCAGTATTACCGAAGATAGAGCCTCGAGAAGTTTACGGACTTTTTAAAATTTTCAAAAATTTCCAATATTCGTGCGTGACGTCACAANATAAAATTGCCCATACATTACGCCCTTAAAGTTTGATCACTACATGCCCGGACACATTGTATAATAAATTTAATACCCCGATCACAAAACTTTCAGCTCGTCTGCTGAAAGAAATTAGTGCACGTTGTCAGCCGAGGAGCGAGAAGCAAGCTGCATTGCTCATTTGCATACTAATTACGCTGAACAGATGGACTCAACCCATAATTCTCCAGTCTTCGTTTAATGGAGACCTGATTTTAGGTAGGTACTTGTAGTTGTAACGTGGATGTAACTGGCAGGTATTTCCTCTGTAAGAACTTTAATAATTAATAAAATACCTACCATTACCTTAATTGTTCCTCATTATCAAATTATATTTTCAGTCAACGTGTACTTAATACAATTGTTTAGTTAATCCCCTAAGGCCCGATTCGACCAACCTTTTATCCGAGAATAATTTCTGGTATAACTAGACACATTAACAGTCATAACAGTTTCAGTATGGGAAATATGTCAAAACTGACGAACTCACTTGTTTGGTCGAATCCACCCTAAGTGTTATAATCACTGGCAATAAGGAACAAGTCCTATTTGTGTTGCTTTTCTATAGGCCACTACTCATGAAGGTAAAATCTTATTTTTCAGCAAACATGTCCTGTAGTCTGCTGTGTAGTCCGATCAACGAGGATATTCGAGAAATGTCAACCTTACGGGGTAGTAATAATGTACCTACAGAAAGTATCATGTTTTGGTAAAAATAACCAAACTTCCCATCATATCTTCCCATTATCCAAAGACATTGTGAGTCAAACATAAATCTCAAAGGTTACAGGTTGGGCGCTTCGTTTTGTAGGTCAACGCAAAAACGCGGAGGTTCCTGTATCTTGCACAGTAGAACACTTACAACAAAAGCCCNGAAGTGAAAAAAGCCATGTTTTTTCTAAATAAATCCATTCTTACTCCCTTAAAATGTATGAAACTTGTATCTCTTTTCTACTTTTGCTAATAGATAATTTTATTGGCTATCGCGTGATATAAAATATTTGCTTACTAATGTTAAGCTACCCATGCTTTCACTTGTTTTTGAAGGAAAAGGTGAAAACTAAAAATTAAAAACTTAAATCCTTGTAATTTTGCGATAAATGGGTCAAAC